TATATGTATAGAAATGTATAAATAGAAAGGAGGAAGTTGGTGCTAAATGAAAAATGAAAGGCAGGATGATATGTGTGGGGATTGGGGGAAGACCAGTCAGAGTGGAAAGAACTACGTTTGCAGTACCAGCTCTGTCATTCTGTGACCTTATTAAAATAACCAAACATCTCTAGGACTCAGTTTATAAATTTGTGAACCGAGAGGTTGAATGGAGGTAACTTCTAAAAGTCACTTGACACTTGAAAGTTTTGAAATTCTTAGCTAAGACGGAGTAAGTTTCAGAATATGTAGACAAATATGAGTGTACCATTTTATAATTCATTCAACATTTGTTATTGTCTGTAACTTATTTGTCTGTGTAGTGTGGATGTGGTGAAAACATGATGTCTGGTATAAAATTTAGAGAACTTAAGAGATGTTCACAGATAACTTTTATACAAGGTCCATATGTCACAATAAAGAATTAAGAGAGAGGTTGTTTCCAACTTGGAGAAGAGAAAGGTATGGAGAGGATTATGGAGGGACCTATCTAAAAGTTTTCCATTATAGGCCCCAGTGCAAATTAAGCAGAGAAGCAATTAATTGGTTAGTGAGAACAGTCATGTCCTTTAGTCCTTCTGTTAGATATCCTTCTTTGTCTCTTGCAATCACTTTTGACTTAAAATCTATTTTCTCTGATAATATCAGAGAAATAACCCCAACTTTCTTTTAGTTATTTACACGGAATACCCTTTTCCATTATGTTCTTTTAACCTTTTTTGCGACTTTGTGTCTAAAGTTAGTCTCTTATAGACATCATACAGATGTACCAGTTTTTAAAACCATTCTGCCATTCTCTGCCTTTTAAATGGAGAGTTTAGTTTATTTAAAGTAATTACAGATAAGGATAGAATTCTGTTATTTAGCTATTTGCTTTCTGTATGTCTTAGACACTTTTTATTCCTCAATTCCTACATTACTACCTTTTTCTAGTGACTTTTTTGTAGTGTACCACTTTGATTCCCTTCTTCCTTTTTCTATATATTTTTAAAATTTTTTCCTAGTGTTTACTTCAGGGGTTATAACTAAACATGTAACAACCAAATCTGAATATCAACTTAATTTCAATAATATACACTCTTCTCCTATACATCTCTATCCCTCTCCCTTTATACTGTTCTTGTCACAGATTACATCTTTATGCATTTGCTTTTTAAATTATATAGGAAAGAAAGAGGAGTTACAAACTTATATGTACAATAATACTGACTTTTATACTTACCTATGTGGCTACATTTACCTGAGTTCTTTATTTCTTTATATGGCTTCAAGTTACTGTCTATTGCCCTTTCTTTGCAGCCTGAAGCACTCCTTTTAATATTTCTTATAAGGAAGTTCTACTAATAACAAATTCTATTAGCTTTGTTTATCTTTGAATGCCTTAATTTCTCCATCATTCTTGAAGGATAGCTTTGCTAGTTTTAGAATTCTTGTTTAACCTTTTATTGTTATTTCATTTTTAACACATTAACTGTCATGTGTGTTGCATTCAACTTAAGACTAGTTTTGAGCCCAGGGCCTCATGAAGCATATGTAACTCACACATCTCTTCACCTTGGGAGCCGTGAGAACTATTTTTCAAGTTGCATATAACTCACACACAGAAAATGATAAAAAATAAATTTTTCATTAAATTAGGATGGTTGCATTTTCGTATTTTCATAATAAAACATCTTGGCTCTAAGGAAAAAAATTTTTTCTAGCGTGGCTGTCAATGTGTTGAAGATAAGGTCTCACCAATGTTGCCAACTCCTGGGCTCAAGCAATCCTTCTGCCTCAGCCTCTTGGGTAGCTGGAATTACAGGCATGAGCCACCAACCCAGCTTTGTTTAACTTTCTTTAAAATATATTTCCAGCACTATAAATATGTCATTTTATTGCCTACAGGTAATGTTACCTGGCAGGTAACATCTGCTCTGTTTCTTCCGGAACTAAGGACCAGGTCCACACTGGACACATGAGCTGCTGTTTTCAAGATGGTCACACCGCTGGTCCTGGGAGGAGATGGGAATCAGGGTGAGTCAAAGCCAGAAATAAATGGCCTTTTTCTTGATTCCGCATTTACTTGGTTGCTGCAAACCTCTGACTATTTTCTAGAGTTCTGACAAAGTTGGTTCTGATAATTTCTAGTTGGTTTTTTCTGTTTTTATGGAGGATGGGTGTTTGAAGCTGCCTACTTGCCATTCTGCTGCTGTCATTCCCCCAGTTGAACAAGTCACAGCCTCTCTGTATCTATTTCCTTCTTAGTCAAACAGCACAGCTCCAAAAATGTCACAGGGCTGCTGTCAGGATCAAATATAGGAATGTGTAAGACTTTTATAAAACACAATGCACACAAAACCTTACTTTAAGAAATATATTGTTTTCTGCACATCACAGTTACATCACTTTTATGATGCTAGAGAAGAATTTAAATGGTGGGCAAAAAAGTTTAATTTTACATGCATACTTTTATTCATCTCCATTTCTACCTAAAAATATACTTTATCTTTTACCACCAGCGTCAGTAGTCCTCTAACATCAATAAGGGGAAAATACTGGTTTTACTTCAACATTTTATTGAACTTCTCATATTACATAATTTACCCAAAACATTTAAAGTACCAGTGAGACAAAAACAACTTAAAAAAAAAGACATACAGACAAAATACCTCCAGGTGAGGTCATACTGTAATAAGATTCGTTGTCAAATCACAAGTTTTGTTACTCTGCTATATAACTTGGTACCATATCAATGATATTAAATGATTCAAAAGTTAAGACATTACACATTCAGTTTGTGTGTGTTGAGAGAAATCTCTTATGTACAATGGCTTGAAAAACAGAAATGCCGACATTAAGTATCATTCAAATTCTAGTGCAGCGTGAATTGTTATCAAGAGATTTTATCTGCTTATATAAGTTTTGAAGATAATTCAAACCTGGCTATCTTTTTAAGATCTGGCAAAGTAGTCCTTTGTATCCTAAAAGATCAGCAGGCAAACATCCTACATAATCTCAACTGATAAATATCCAAGCAGTTTTTTTCCCATTTTCTGAACAGATATATGAATACTTGTACAAAAATACTGAGCCATTTGTGCCCAATCAATAAAATGAATGCTTTGTGCAGTTATAACAAAGCCCGTGCAAAAAGAACAGTTTTGAGTAGTCAGGTACAGCTGCAAAAGTGAGAAAGATCTCTTACCTTTCCAGTTTTGTATGTTTCTAAAAGCACTGGCTATCAAGTACCCTAATCCATAATCATTTTCAAATTAGCTTGCTTTTACTACTTCATATTTATAACATCTAGTGCAGGGAGTTTGGAGGCTGAAATAACCTTATCATTCTAGGGATTTTGTTTTAAGGACCCATAGAATAAAATTGAGAAGGGCATCTCAGGGAAGTCTATATACACAAATTTAGTAAATCAATTCATACATTCACTTTACATAGTAGGTTAATATTTACCAGTTTTTTATTCAGTTGCTTTCAGTCTATGTGTCTCAAATTAAGAAACCCATACAATGTAAGGTAAGCATTATCACAAGTTCCATGGCCAAAATCTGACTTATATAAAGACCAGTGGGCTGTGGACCACTTTAATAGAATCTTACTCACATTAGTATTAGTCATATTAAATTTTAAAAAAATTTATTCTAAGATATTATTAGGAAATACAGCTCATGGATATTTGATTTTGGAACCAATGTTAAAGAGAAGTAGCAATTTTGAAAAGGGAAAGGGTCTGGTTATTTTACTTATTCTTTCTAAATTCAATGAAACATATTTGGCCAGCTTAAATGTAAGTGCTTGACTTTTAAGGATTTTATATTTCAACTAAATTGGAATGGCAGTAAAAATAATTAGTATTTTACTTTCTACATATTAATTTTAGTTTTAACGTTAATTTCTCTTTATCCAAAAAAGACAGAAAATAAGACCAACCTTACATGTGTGGTTCATCCCATCAGTCTAATAATGATTCCATAATGTATGAAATTATATTTTCATACTAATTTCCAACAAATAATAATGAAATATCTCATCTTTAGCTAAATAAAGGATCTTACAGATTTTCACTAGTAAATACTTCATTCTACTCAGATTCTGTTCCAGAAATGTTGTGAAACTAAATTTTCTGGTTTACTTGAAACTACTTTGATTATAATAAAAATGGAAGGTTTTTAGGAAGTTGAACATATTATGAACATCTAAAAAGTTATTTGGCAGTTCAAAAGCAATGAAAACAATTTAAATGCCATAGGTTGGACAAAGTAATCCATGATCTAAAAGATTAATGATAACATACAAAATGTGATCAAAGCTGTCTAATTTTATTTTGCCCCTCTTGGTGGAATTTAAAGATGGAAAACTTAGGTGTTTCAGTAATTAAAACATACATACACAAGACAGTAGAGTAAGCCACTACTTATATATTATTTTAAACTTTTTAGATGTCTTTTTCTTTGGCTCCAATACTATTAAAAAGCAACCATTCTGTGACATTTAGCAAGTAAAATGCATTTCAGTTTGTATGCATTCTCAGTTGGACAACGTCAGTGCAGAGTCACTGTGCTTCAGAGAACTAACCATTCACAGTAAAACTGTGATCATCCATGTAAAGAAATGAAACTTTAAAATGTTTAACGATCGATCAAACACATCATTTTACTATACAAAGAATTTAACCCAATAAATTAAATTTAGGGACAGAATTTTTTATTAAACTGATTAATAATTTTTTTTTGCTTATCTATTGAAATGTACTTTTCCCCCTCCTCCATAAAACACATGGATAAGTTTCCTTTAAAGTATGTATTTTTTCTTCAGTATTCATCCAAACACGTTTAAATAAAAGGCGATAAGAAAAACTTGGTTTTCCCTTTATGTATATCTAGTTTGGAAAACAAAACCTTAAGTAAAATCTGAAAGAAAAAAAAAATTGAAGCCATTATTTAATGATGACTATACAGTAGGTAAGAGGCACAAATTCCCAGGTGAATTTTAATTTTGTTTCCTCTAAGACAAGTCATTCAGAAATGAAAGGCAAATGAGGTTCCTTTAAGTACACAATTTGTAAATGTGGAAACAGTAATAGTTGTCATGATTATTTTATATTCTCTCTTAAGATTGGCTCTAAAAGTAGCCTGACGATTCATACAACTAGCTAAACAAACCAAACTTTATAAACATGGCGAATTTTTAAGTTTCTGGCACTGAAATCCTGGGTTTGGATATGGACAAGTATGCTACATTTGACTTAACATCATTTGGGTACCTTGGCTTTTATGCTGTATTCTGATGTTCAAGCAGAAAATACATGACTTAATTGTATGCAATAAGCTGACCTAAGTATAGAAAACTTACAGAGATGAAGGAAATTCGAAGTCACATGTGTGTATACAAATGGCTTTGTAAAATACATATATACAGCCATTAAAATTGTCATATAGGGACAATGCAATTTAAAATCCTTCATCTCCTATATACAGATTGCCAAATCTAATCCTCTTAGTCTTTTTCAATGATGATATAATTTATTTGCTCAAAAGTAAAATATCCAGATTATATTAAGGATAATATACTAACATCAATCTGGAAGGTAAAATAAACACGTAACAAATATTCCAATAGGTTCAGCTCTATGAAATTTTGTTTTATATTTGATAAAGTTTTACTTCTGCCCAGGATCATTTTTACTTCAGCATGAGTATTTCGCTAACTAGAATTTAATTTGTTTAAGTGTTACTTTTATTGAGTTTCCAAATTTGGAAGCACTGTGATCCAAATATATACCTATTCCTTATAAAAAATGAAAAGTCAAGATAATCAGCATGGGCATAGCCTTTTTTTTTTTAAAGCAATTTCACTTTCCAATCCATTTTTCCCCCAGTATTTCACTTTTATCCCTCATAATTTCATAGTAAAGTATCCAGATTATTTCTTCTGGACTAACCAGTGATGGAACCTAAATCTCAAACGCTATTTTGAAGAAGTGTAGAGTAAATAATTTTGGTAATCTGTAAAACGGCTGCATGCAGTGTGTACTGTATTATAACAGCACCAAACCCTTTATAAAATCCAAGCACTCCTTCCTCCCGCTTTATGGTATTGATACAGTCTCTCATTCCCTGATACTGTGTATTAATTGGAAGCACTTCATAGCCAAGGTCTGTGTTGTCAATTATTGTGCGTGTTCCTTGAATGTGAAGGCGGTGCAAAACTGTTTCCAATGGGTAAAGTATAACATCAGAACAAAGACTGGCTGCAAAGTTAGCAATAAGTTCTGGAAAATAAGCATCCAGCATATTCTGTACAGGGCTAGTACTCTCAGCTAGGTGGCTATTACAAGTCTTTCTCTTTAGAATGAGTAGGACAAACTTCTGAATAACTGAACTAATGATGTAATGAAGAACTCCATGAAGCACCGTAGGGAAGATCAAGGAAAGAAGAGGAAGAAGTCGTTTGCTATGAGGCACTCCCATGCCTATCACTCTTCCAATTCCTTCTTTAACACATTCCAAAATGCCAGCATTATCTCGAATTATCTCACTCTGAAATAAAAATGATGAAATAAGTAAAAGTTAACATTTTCTTATTTTGCCACACAAAAGGGAGTCTTTCTAGGTTTCTTCTAAATCCTACTTTACTGACTAAAGAGGGCAAACAACGATGGTTTTCAGACTTCAGCTATCATCTAGGGCTAGGCATTATTTTCTGGTTTTTTTCTTAAATGAAATCTCATAAAACAGCAGTGAAGTTGAGAGCTGTTCATATTGGTGTAGGGAGACAGAGGAGATGTGGAGGTGGACACACCTGGTGTCCCGATCTCAAGAAGCTCCTTAGAACTCGTTTAGAAAAGCAACAACTAGCTGATGCCTAAGGAGGCAATATAGTTCTTAAAGATAGGTTTAAATCCTGCCTCCATTACTTACTGGTTATGTAACCATTGGCAAGCTGCTTAACTTCTCCTAAGTTGTCAGATTACCATTTAATAAAAATGGAAATTAGTACTACCTACCTTTTATGCACAGTTGTTGTATTAAATAAAAAAGGCCTGGCACCCAATAGGCACTCAATAAATGTTAATCTTATTATCACTTGCAATGTCTACCTTTTTTCAATTTGGGGGATATGAGCAAGAAAGTTTGTGATACAGACTATAGAGGTATGGGTAGGGAGAAAAGAAACAGCTAAAAAGCTACTTTCGCTGTAGCAATGATTTATTTGATAAATCTAAAAAAATGTTTAGCAGTTAAGGAAGGTAAGTTGAAAAGGTAAAGTGAAGTCATTAAAACCTTGATTTAACACTATGCTGAAAAGTCTAAAATTGATGTTAGGGAATATGAGTCAATATGAATCCTTAATCAGCAAAAGGACATACGCATTGTAACCCAAGAATATCAATCTTGCATGAGTACACAGAATGGATTTTTTAAATGCAGGAAACCAGAACAAGGATTCTTAACGAAGAAATAGATCACTAGGAAGTTCATATTTAAGGGCTTCATTACATGTTCTTCAGGAGATCTATTTACAAATGTGTCTTTTTCAAGAAAAACAATGTTCTCAAAGAGAGCTAAGCTCCCCAGAAGGGCAAAGAATCACCAAGCATCAAGCAGGAAGAAAGAAGATAATGTAATAAGCTGGGTATATGGTAAAGAAGGGATAAGAATGGTGGGGAGAAACAGACAAATCTTAGATACTTGTTGAAGTTAGAACTAAAAAGGCAGGAGGACTGATTAGTTATGAAGGATGAAAGCAACGTAAACACCAAAAACTTTCCTAAAACAAAACTTAAAGTTTTTAGAGTAAAGACAATAATAGAGCCATTAATTGAAAGGGAAAAGAGGTCCTGAAGGAAACTAATTTTTAGAGGGATAAGACTGGTTTTATAAGTTGAGTTTGAGGTGAAAGATTTAGTTCACATAAATATCAGAGTTAAAATGATTCATGTAAGTAAATGAGTCCCTTCAAGGATTGAGACTTGGCGTACAATAAAAGAATGGTATAGTAAAGAGGCTGCTGAAAGAAGACAATGTTCCAGATAGTAGAAATCTAAAGAGGAAAAAAAAAGAGTTCTAGAAAAGAAGAAGAAAGTAGTCAAAAGGAGAGTCAGCAGGTAGAAACTGCAGCAGGAAACACAGGAGTAGACACTGGATCAAAACACACACATACACACACACACACACAGAGACAGAAAACCCTATCACATAGTGAGCTGGGCACTAACATAAATAATTCATTTAATTTTTATAGCTCAGTTATTAAAACACTATTCACATTTTATGGATGAGAAAATTAAGAATATTACAAAGATTAAGAGATTTGTCTAAACAGCAGATATATTTTAAGCAGAGAAATGTGATACTGATATGGGTCTGTCTTCAGCTAAAACTTGTTTTCCCCCAGTAAATCATGCAGCTTAGTTGTTTTTCCTTAAATAATTATTTTCATGGTGTTTTTTTTTCTTATCTTTAAACTAAGGATATCTCTTAGAGTGGTAATTCTATAAATTCTATAGTGTCATAAAAAGGTTATATCATTTATTTAACACAATGCCAAATGAAAAGGGGAAAGGAAAGAATTAGTTGGGTCATAAGACATTAATTTCAGTTAAGAGAAATTAGTTCCAACAACAAAAATCAAAATTAATGATGGGGCCAGAAAAACTAAGTGGAAAAGAGTAGTTAGAAAGGGGAAGGCTGATGTAGGTTTCACAGAGAAGGGAAACTTGTACGTAATAAAGTAAAAATATGATGGAGGGTCTGATGTTTGAAATAGAAGACAGATGTACAATAGTTGAGCAGCTAAAACTATCCTTACCTTACAGTTTTAAGTGTAGGAAAGGTCTGAGACTTAATTCAATATACTTGAAGCGCCACCATGTGGTTATAAATGGTAAAACAAACAAACAAAATTTTAAACACTAGCTGGAAATTGCTTTAGCTTTGTAGTACTTACCACATCATTAGTAACAAATGTTCATCAATGTACATAATTAAAAAGAATGTTGTTAGTAAACTACCTACTGGGATAACCTTATGCCTGCTAAAAATGATTTTCTATCATGTTTATGCTCAGGTAATTATTTACTATCCTATGATAAAATGTAACCGTCTGAATTGTACATAGGGCCTTAAAAAGTTAATATAGATTCTCTGTATGCAGAACAAGTCATAGGCTGGATCCTGAGATATATGCATGAAGAGTATAGTTGCCTATGCACATGATAAAAATAACTGAAACTAGAAGTGTGACCTAAGTTTGTAATGGAAATAACGCACACCAGCAATGTGTGACCTATGTGTGGTATCTGTGAAAGAAACATTTTAAAAGGACACTGTGTTAAAATTTTCTGCTAAACGATCAGATATACACAATATATTAAATATTCCAAAAAAATTTTTTAACTAAAACAAAGGATGATAAAAATACAGCTTACCTGTACTGTTTCAATTAGACTTGCTGAATAAAATGGCATTGCCACTATGTAAGTTAGACTGTAAAAATTAAAACAAATTTATTAGTATAGTGAAACAAGATATTTATAGTAAATTTTTAAAATATTCAAGCTAGAATGATTTTTTTAAAGTTTTCACTTATTAATACCTATAGTCTAAAGATATTAACTTCAGAAATCTGTAACACAGGATGCTTTATTCAATAGAAATGAAAAAAAATCAAATATTAATAATAACACAAAGGACAGCCTGCAAAGAAAATAGATTTCACTTTAAATGAACAAAATGCAGGCCCATTTATGATTCACTGTACATCTACCTGCACATAGCTAATGCAGTTATCAATTTAATACTTAAAACTTAGGATGAAGGATCCATTCCATGCCTTGCCTTTTTAGTGATATTTGAATAAGTATACTTTTCTGCTATTATACTATTATCATCATCTATTCCCAGAATTCCCATCCAGCAAAACTAAGCCAGCCTTCAATGGTGAGTAAAGTCCCCTGTTATTATTAAAAAACAATATTGCACAGCTTTGCAAAGTTGTTTCCTATCACAAATATTTAGATATAGTCATATTACAACTTTGCAAGCCTGCAAAATATAGTTATTTAAAATAATATCAAGGTGGGACTTACCTAACCCTTATGGGCCAGGTCCTGGCAAGTAGTGGTTTTCAAGGTGAATGGAACATCACTAAGTAATAATGTGCTAGAATGTCCCATTGAGGGAGCCAGCAAGCTGGGGAATTTCCAATTCACAATCTTCAAAAAAAAATTAAAAAGTGAAGAATAAAATTCTAATCTACAAAAATGGGTTACTGTTGTAAAATCACTAAGTGCCTTTAGGATTACATTTTAATGTTATTAAGGTTTTATGGATTTGTTCATTACCATACAAATAAATTTGTGTCTCTGATCAATAATAAAATAATAATAATATTCTTGGAAATGTGGGTTAAATAAATTGAAGATCTTTGCTAACTTCCTAAGAACACACAAAAATAGTAGGCTGTGATTACAGCTTTTCAATAGTAAGATTTATTTTAAAGATGATATACGTGTCGGGATTTATTCCTAAACTCTATTATCCTTTGAAGTTCTAGTCCTACAAAACATTTTACTGCTCTAATTTCTTTCACTATATTTAATAAGATGTTTTTTCCAGTTCTACTACTATAAAAATCAAGGTAAATTTCCAATAAAAAATGCCATTTTTTGATACTTACGATTTCAGTAGAAGGTGTTCTCCTATTTGTTTAGGATTCCATTTGTGTGAAATCTCTCTAAAACATAAATTTAAATAAAACAAAAAGCCATGTTATTTAAAACATTTTGAATTAGCCCAATTTTCAAAAAGGTTTCTAATTTTTTTTTAATTTGTAGGAGAAATATATTCTAATAATGAACATTTCCTTTTCTGGGATCACAGCATAAAACAACTGTAGTGGTTTGGAGAGAGAGAAAAAACATACAAGGTGTTTTCTGTGTGCTGACAGAGGAGGATGAGCTATAGCTTATAATAAAAATGAACACGATGAAAAATTAAAGGAAGAAATATAAAAATGATAGGTTAAAAAGGAAAGAATGGACGGAGAAAGGAAAGGGAAACAAGGCACAGGATAGGAAAAAAGAATCTTTACAAAGTATGTAAGAATGAGAATTTTAAAACAAAATAAAATCAAGTAACTATAATGTAGAATGACACATTTGTGTAATACCTAATTTCCAAAGTGCCTTATTACAATGACATTAATTTTGTGACCACTGTTATATTCTATTATCTTTTTGAGCATCTACTATATGCCAGGCACCGTGCAAAATGCTTTGCATGAATTATTTCTAATCTTTACAATGACTCTATTATCCCCATCTTATAGATGAGGAAATGGGATCAGAGAAAGTTCATAACTTGCCCAGAGCCATACAACTAGCTAGAGTGGAACTGGGTTCTAAACTCTGGACTGTACTGTCTGCCTGCACTGCCTCTTATCTCATTCGATACAAGAAGGAATACTGTTGAGACAAGCAGAGCAAGTATCATTGCATTTGTTTTACTGATGAGAAAAATGAGGGGTGAAAAGATCACAGGGACATGTTCAAAGGAAACAGGCAAAATGCCAGGTCTGGAACCAAGGTCTAGAACTGTGCTTTCTGCTATTTAGGTTATCTTTGGAAACAAGGAAAAAACAAAAAAATTAAGAGAGATAAGCTGAAATAGAACACAAGGGAAAAAGGGGAGAAAGTTCTATCATGAGAAAAGTCAAAAAGGAGAGACAACTAAGAAGAATAAAAGGGAAAATAAGAAAATAGAAAAAAAATGGAAAGGCAGAGGGAATAGAGAGAAAAAAGAAACAAAACAGAAAGGGAAGTGCAAAACAAAGATGACACCTGCTGTCACCAGCTCCCCTGAGGGAAATGGCACTCCTTCCATCATGGCTACAGCAGGAACCTTGAAAAATGTTTTTCATTTGAAATGAGTGAATATGAAAAACAAAAGAATATAAAGGAATAAATATATTTTGTACTGAAAAGGCGAAGAAAGTTAAAATAAAGTCACTAATACGGTAAGTGCCTTAAAAACAAACTCAGTACAATTACAGCATGAGTAGTATGTAACCCTCCTACTTCTAAGAGACTGAAATGTATGCAAAGACTTTTTAGACAACAGAATGATCATCCCTAATTTCTAAGACCTTAGAGAGCCTTCTGGACCAAATTCTGATTAAATTATTACTACAATACTTATTTGACCTGAACAACACAGAAAATGTAGCTGAAATGATATTCAAGAATTAAGTTGAAAATATAAAAAACCGATTAGGCCTCCCATGTTACAATTACTTATTATAAAACAAAATATGCCATATGCTTTGTAAATCACCTTGGTGCTACTATTATTCATGGCCTCAGAAAGTATTACCACAGGCTATTATGACATATATTTTAAGCATAAAACTGTCATAAACACTATGAACAGATGAGTCTGTGACCTGTATTTCTGTAAAGATTGGGATACCTCCCCTTTAAATACAATTCTAATTACTACTGCCAATTCTTAAAGATCATTAAGATAAAAGTAGAGAAAGGGAGATTTAGAACCAATTATTAAAAAAAAATTTTTTTTTTTGAGACAGAGTCTCACTTTGTTGCCCAGGCTAGAGTGAGTGCCATGGCATCAGGCTAGCTCACAGCAACCTCAAACTCCTGGGCTCAAGCAATCCTGCTGCCTCAGCCTCCCAGGTAGCTGGGACTACAGGCATGTGCCACCATGCCCGGCTAATTTTTTTTCTATATGTATTAGTTGGCCAATTAATTTCTTTCTATTTATAGTAGAGATGGGGTCTCGCTCTAGCTCAGGCTGGTTTCGAACTCCTGACCTTGAGCAGAGCAATCCGCCCGCCTCGGCCTCCCAGAGTGCTAGGATTACAGGCGTGAGCCACCGCGCCCGGCCTAAAAAAAATTTTTGAGACTCTTCCTTGTATCTGTTCTCTACTACTTTATAAAATGGGTAAAACTTATTGCCACCACTCTAGAAATTTAAATTAACACACTTAAATGCTTCAGAAAGAGGTAAGTGTAAAAACTTACTTGTGATTAAACATTTTTATATATCATTATCAAATACCAAATGTATATATTTTAATTATTTTTAAGCAAAAATTGTCCTTGCAAATGAGCAACAAAATTTTAGAATATCTTGGTTTTCTCAACAGTCTAGTTTTCCATTTAATAGATTAAAAATACATACTCCTATGCATAATCAATATATGAAAGCAATAACATTCTAAAATAACTATATCTCAGCAGTCTTTAATTTTCACATAAATAGCTGTCTTCTTAAAAAATAAAATCTTTCCTCGATCTAACCCAAACCCTTCATCTTCCAATTACCTCTCTATCTCCCTCCTCATCTTTCCTCTTCTGAGCCAACTTTTCTAAACTTGCTATTTCCAAGTCCTTACTCTCCATTCACCTCTGAACCCACTCCAAATTGGCTTCCATCCTATTATCCTATGAAAACAGCTCTTGCCAAGGTTCCCAATAACCTCCATGTCACTAAACCCCATGGACATTTTTAAGTCTACACCTTATTTCATATTTCAACAGCCATTAGGCACTCGTGTTCCTTCCTCTTTGAAGTACTTGTCTCTGTACTCCAATAGCCCATACTCATTTGGCTTTTATCCTGCTTTCTGGTCTTTCCTTCTGACTCCATTGCAGGATCATCTTTCTTAACCCAGCCAACTCTTGTTGAAGTTCCTAAAAGCTCAGGCTTCAGGCTTTCTTCTTTTCTTACTCCATATGGTATACTACTTCTCTAAGCCCTCTCATCCAAAATTACGGTTTCAAAATCTCCCCAATTAATTTACCTTCAGTTAAGACTTCCCTGACAGCTTCTTATCATTTACCTACAGACAGTTCCACCTGGATATGATAAAAGACCTGCAAATGAACTTGTCCAAAAATGAAACTGAAAATCTTTTTTTCCTACTTAAACTCCTTTAGTGTTCCATACTCAGGAACTGTTAAACAGAAAGGAAATCTACTGAATTTAAGAAAGATTTCACCGTGTTTAAAACAACATGTTAAACATTTAAAGGAAGTGGATTCAGAGGAATCATTGGGAGAAAAACCACAAGATGTTTATATTGGTATAACCACAAATGTGCAATGAGTCAAAATTAAGTTCAAGTTCAACCAAATGGGTTTTGTGAAACATTGAACTACACAAGTAGCTTTAGTCACAGGTGCTCTTATCTCATATAAATGATATGAGTAAAGCCACACATAAAGAAAAGAGTACTTTGGGGTAGAATGACACATGGTCTACCTCGTACAAACTGGGGGAAGGTTAGAGAGAGGATTGGGATGGTTTGGTGGTAAATAAAGATATATTATGATCCTGGGTTATATACATTTTCTTAAAAAGTAATACTACTGAGAAACTAAGTTTGTTGACTTTAATAAATGGGCACTAGATATCTGCTATTTTTCTCTCTGATTTGATCACAGTCAGTATTTAAGAAAACTAAATATTGGTGAATCCATACTGCTGTACCTGTTCTACCTAGCAATCTTTATGCAATTAAGAAACCTCAGTTTAGGAGAACTCAAACTCATCCTTATTATGTGATAGCTTCTGTGAACTGCTTTGAGTTAATGCTTTGTTACCTTGTTTGCCATGATTCTGTTTTCTCCCAAGAAAGATCAACCCTATCCAAAGAACAAATAATTTAAACAAAAAAATATATTTACACTATACTTTAGAAAATGATTTCATCTGACATCTAGTTACACAAGCCAGAATCCTAGAAGTCATCCTTGATACTGCTGTCTCTTTCATCTAACATTCCTAATCCATCACCAAATTCCATCAATTCTACTTAAGCATAATTCAAAACTGTCCACTTAATTCCACCTTAAAAAAGATACCACCCTGGTCCTAGACAGTATCACTTCTCACCTTGATTACTGTTATAGCTTAGTAAGATGTTTCCTTTTATCCACTTTGGTTCTACAATCTTTTCATCTACAGTTACAATGACCCTTTGAAAACATACATCTGATGGCACTGACCCTGCTTAAAATGCTTCAATACCCTTAAAATGGCCTACAAGGCCATGCACAGTCTGGCTCCCACCTAGTTGTTTAGCCACTCTCCACCTTGCCCTCTGACCACATGAGCCTTCTCAGTTATTTGAATTTTCCATGTTCCCGACTGCCACAGCATTTTTACACAAACTGGTCTGTGCCTCCTGCTCATGACTGAGATATAGCTTAGGTGTCCTGTTGCCAGGGACATTGTTCTAACCCTTCAATAGTCTCATAGAACCATATTTCTTTTTCTCCAGAAAACAAATTTCAATTTGTAATTATTTATTCATTAATGGGATTATTTTACTTAAACTAGATTCTGAGCTTCATGGTAACAAGTACCTCTTGTTTCTTTTCCTTACTGTAAACCTGTGATTTCTAGCACAAAACCTGATACATAGTAGATATTTAAGAAATGTTAGCTAAGTACATAAATGAATTAATGAGTAGGATTTATCACCAAAATTATCCAAGTAGAACAATAAAGACAACCATTTTTGTGTCTTCTTTACTAAGATTCAAAATGACAAAGAGAAAATGCATTCCTACTTAATTGACAAGCCTGTATGTTTATTGAGAGTTAGATGATAGAATTTTATAAAATCCTATGCCTTTCCATTCCTATTTCTCTGTTTTCTTCCCTTTAATCTGAAGTTAATATTACTCCTTCATCTCCCCTTTAATGAGGCAACATGACTTGAGTAAGGTCCCCGAAATAAAACTGGTATAGCCAGGCTGAACCAATAGTGTTGTGATTCCAAGTACAGTCATCAGTCTTCCACATCTGTGGGTTCTGCATCCATATAATCAATTGAGAATTGAAAATATTAACCAAAAAAAAAGCAAGCATGATTATGTCTGTATTAAACATGTACAGACTTTTTTCTTATTGTCCCCTAAACAATATAGTATAAACAACTATTTACATAACATTTACATTGTATTAGGTATTATAAGTAATCTAGAGATGATTTAAAGTATACAGGGAGGATATGTATAGGTTATGTGAATTTTATATAGAAAACTTGAGTATCTCCAGACCGTGGTATCCACAAGGTGTCCTTGAACCAATGGATACAGAAGGACAACTGTACTGAAGTTTTCTCCCTAATGGAACTTCCTACATTTTGTTAAATTTTTATAAAATTTGTTTGTTAGAGAACTTCAAGAATATTTGGTTGTTAATACTAACTTACTAACTTTTTAAAAAAATTTATTTCAGGATATTATAAGGGTACAAACATTTTGGTTACATTTTATATCTGTGCCTCACCCAAGTGAGGATTAGAGGCATGCCCTTCCCCTCTACAATGCTCACTACGTCCATTTAGTTGTAAATTTACCCCCTCTCAACACCCTAATCCCTGGAGAATATTGCTAACATGTAAGCACCATAGTGTGTTGATCAGTCAGTGCCAATAACTTTTGATCTTATCCAGTGATATAAAAGCAACAGTGTGAATAAAATTGGGCACAGAAATTCACATTTTAAAGAACGAAATGAGAAACTTTTAGTTGGCCAAATGTTTCTAATCTTTGTTTTGTTTCTAAACTTTTAGCAAAGCTGTTATAAAGGAACTTCAAGACTATGATGTCCTTTGAAAGCAATCACATCAGAAAAAAGCTTTATATCCATTTCTCTTACCTTCATACTTTCAACTATCTCACTTTTTCAACAATGCAAAAATTTCCCATTCAAAGCCTTTAACACTATCCTTGTGCTGATAGAGAAAAATACAGTGCTAACAAAGAAAATCACACAGTAATGCCAAATAGCACCTAAAAATTTTATGATTTCCAATATTATCTATTAGCATTCTTTTCATGTATTCTTTATAAGATTCCCTTGCTAGCCATCATTGTCTGTCCCAAATGTACATTATTTTTCTCATGCTTTTCTACTACAACCCCAGGCTTATCTAACTAGGTAACACCACACCCTGTTTCACAGAGACCCAGAAGGAAATTTCACTAATTTCTCTCTCTACCTTCTCTCCCCAATTTTATCTACAATTCTAATCTTTCCAGCTTGGGCTTCCAGAAAACTACTGTCCTGTATCTTACTGCTATTTTCAATTTGTTCTGAGGGCATCTCTAACTATCTCCCTCAATTACCTCTCTCAGCATACACACACCCGTGCATGACACACATACATACACACATTAGTTGCCCAGGATTCTGTACTTGGTGCATTTTATGTCATTTAATCTACACTTTCTCCTGAGGTGATTTCTTCCACTCTAATGCTCCAACTGCTACTTTTATGCCACAACACTGGAAGCTATGCCTCTGCTTCAAATTTTCTCGAAGACACTGATCCATGGTTCCAATCACCTATTAGACGTGTCCTCCTAGGTATGTTGCAAGAATCATTGATTTCAAACTTCATTTACTGAAAGTTAAATTTCTTATCTTCTCCCCCACTCCAACTTTTTCATGAATTCTCCATTTTGGGTAATGTTTTTCAATCCAGAAATCTCAGTTACTGCTGACAACTCATACCCTCATTCTCAAGCTGACATCAGCTATCATCAACTATACTTCAGAAATGTCTATCCAGCTCATTTCTTTCTGTTGTTCCATAGTTCAGAACCTTCTCAGTATGGTCTAGATTACTCTTCACATGTCTGCCTTTAGCTGTCAATTTTTTTTTACACTGCCACTTGAGTATATCCTTGATCAAAACACCTACATATTAAAGAAAGAAACAAAAAAGGAAACCTTCTACTCCCATACTCCTGTAGAAAACCTTACCAAGGCACAATCACACTTTAACACCTCACAGGGGTGGGGAACCTGCGGCCTTCTGATTTCAAGATTGTTCTTTTTTAAGCACCAAATGAGGCAAGAAAAGATACATCTTTCTCTGCTACACCCCTTTTAATAAAATAATTTGTACTCTAAAATTTGGATCCAGTCAAACGGTCGCACTCAAGGATCCGGAAGGACACGTGTGGTCACAAGGCTGCAGATTGCCCACACCCGTGTGGGTTACCTCTTCTTGGAACGATTGCTTTCAACTGCCAAGTCAATTCTTATTCATAATTCAAGATCTAGCTCAGATTTCAGTTATTTTTCTGAAACCTTTGTCAATAACTCCAAAGTGTCCCCTGAACTCTGAAAGGGGTTTAATTATAGCACAAATCACCCTGTGTACTATAACTTGCTAACATGTATCTCCTTCACCAAACTGAAGACTTAAAGAATAAGAATGGCTCACATACTCGTATTTGCTCCCTAGTTGGCAGTTGGTGGCACACAGCAGTAAGTAGCAGCTGAAAGATATCTCAATAGATACTAGACCAAGAAGAATTTTCTTTATCACATACCAATTCAGTAAGATATGATTAATTAATCTTATACTGTTTCTTCTTTTAGCTACTTAAGACAAGTTTTCAGATTCAAAGTAGTTGAGAAACTATATTTTATTAAAACTTAATATGGACTAATATTGAAGAAAGGCCAAAAAGGTACCTTGGCAAAGGTGTGAATTCACTAATTATGCCTTCTGCTCCAAGTGTGACACCCTGGACAATAAATGTACTTCCCATTCCTTTCCATAGGGCTCTTGGTCCCTAAAATGAATAAAATTGAGTGTTATTTCTATTAATACCTAAATATAAAACACAAAAGGTCTTAATAAAACTTGATGTTGAATTAAATACTCCTAATGATTAGTTAATTTAATTTGTTAAATAACTCTAATATATGTATATTCAACTCCCTTCTAAGACTGTCCCTTGGACAACACATAGGTATCTTAAAATTTACATATCCATAACTTAATCCAATGATACCTACTCAAATCACACCAGTTCTTTCCTTCTCTGCTGTATTTCTTATCTTCCTAGATAGCAACTTCATCATCCTAGTATTCAAATTGTATATCCAGAGAACACCACTTTTCTATCACTCTTTCTATTTAATTAGTCATAAAGTTCTATTAATTCTACTTTCTTAGTGTCATACAAATCCATGCTCTTTTCTCCATCTTACACCATTACTTTATATCAATTTGACTATAACAGTTCTGACTCTAGTCTTTCCCCTTTCTATGATACCATGTGATATTCCTATTCCTATTTATCTATGTTATTAATAAATAACACATAGACATGGTACAATTAAAAAACAGCAATAGGGTATCAGGTGAAAAGTTTACCTCCTTTGAATCCCAGTCCCCCAGCAGCAGTTTCTTATTTATCCTCCAGACATTATGGAGGATACAAGCGTATCTCTGTGTGTATGTATAGTTACAGCAATGTTTCATTCATTTTTAACAGATGGTACTATCTTGAACTATAAAAAATATTCCAGAGATCATTCCATATCAGTACATATAGTACACATCTGATTTTTAAAGGCTATGTGGTGTTTTACCATATAAATATGCCATAATTATTTTACTGGTACCCTCTTGATGGACATTTAATCGTTTCCAATCTCATTATTATATGCAATGCCAAAATGGCATCCTTGAATATACATTTTTTGCATATATATATATGCATATCTATGTGGGATAAGTTTCTAGAATTGAAATTAGTAGTCAGAGAACATGTAAATTTTAAATTTTGAAGGATATTTGCCAAACAACCCAAGTTTGTTCAAATTACTTTGACCACTGCTAAAACATCTTCAATGGTACTCTTATAGCTTTTAAGATCAGGTGTGCAGTTTTTAGAAGGCACTTTATGATCTAGATTTTGCTTACCTCTCTAGCTACCTTTTCAACTTTCTCTTACTCTTCAACCCCTGCTCCAAGCTCCCACTGTACTTTTTAAAATCTATTCCCAAACAACACAATCCCTCCTTCTCTTCTGTCCTTGCATATCTACTTAAAAAAACTTTTCTCTACCCTTATCATGAAAAAGTAAGACTTCTTGATAGTAAGTATAAAACTCAGGTGTCCCTTTTCCCAAAGTTTTTCCTAGCGATAACCCTGTGCCCAATCCCAATTTTGATAAGGCATCTTTCTTCTGTACTCTCTGATAGTATTCTATACTTGTAACAGTGTATTTTTCTTACTGTACCACAATCTTCTGTTTAAGTTTTTGTCTCCCTGACTAAACTATAAGCCTCCTGATAACAGGGACATTCTCTTACCTGCTGCTGTGTTCTTAGAGCTTAGCATAGCTCTTTGTAGTTTTGCTAAATTAATTAAGTGAAATTTTGGAAGAATCAAAAAGATATAATTATGCTACATTAGTTTTACTACAACAATTAAGATATTTTAATAAACAAATTAAAATCATTCTTGCTTTAAGCCCAATGACACATATTATATATACCTTTCATAAAATCTATAGACTAATTCTCACCTGAGTTTTGTTGAAGCTGTACATGATATTGATGACTGTAAATGGAGTGAGATGATAATGCCGAGCATGGTAATTAACCTGTAAAAAAGGTTTTGTTTTGTCAAGAAAGAACAAAGCCATGAAAGATATACAGTGGAATTGTAGCATAAACAAAAGTTAAATTCTAAAGTCAATATAAATTATACATAAGCAAAATTATTCTTGAAAGTGCTTTAAATAACCTATTAAAAGTACAGTATATATGGTTATATAAATACAATCTGAAGATGAATGCATAATATACATAGTAATGTAGACTATATAGTCAAGAGGATCTTGATATTTATATTGCCCTGAACAAGTGAATTACATCTCCCAACTCATGCTCATTTTAGCATTTCCAAACTACAGGGTGCAATCAATTGGTAAATTATGGTATCAATTAAAGGGGATCAAAACAATATTTATTGTGTGAAATAAAAAAGAAAATATTAGTATGATCACACATTCTAATGTATTATTTCATAAAACATTTCTAAATAATATATTTGTTACTTATGTATATATATACTGGGTCAAAATATAATATTACAATGTAAAATATATATCTGAAATGCACTGTCCTGGGGCATGTATATTGTCAATGTTACTTAAATGGCTATTTATCTATACATACTTATTTTTTGATGTTAAACATAAACAAAGTAAGTTGTAATGATTTATATTGTTTTGAACTCTTAACACCAAACAAATGTGGGAAAAGTTACTTTGCAAAGAAGATAAGTTATATTACAGCAGAGTTTACCACAGTGTGGTCCACTGGCTCCTGAGGGGCCCATTACTCTTTCAGGGGATCAACAAATTCAAAATTATTTTCTTAATTATACTAAGGCATCCTGTCCCTTTTTATTATGTTGACACTTTCATTAATGGTGCAAAAGTTATGGTGGAGAAAACTGCTAGCTCCTTAGCACAAATCAAGGCAGTGGCATCAAACTATATTTTTGTCATTATTGCATTTTCCACCTTACTTATAGGAAAGAAAAAAGCAACTTTCATGTAAGAATATCCTGATGAAGCAGTAAAAAATGTTAATTTTACAAAACCTTGATCTCTGAGTACACATCATCTGATTAATATTGTGTGTTGTGTAAAGGAGTAAGATGGCTGCCATGAAGAAGGCATTTGTATTAACATGACAATTGCAAGCTGATTTAGCCACTTTTTTCATGGAACATCATTTTTGCTTGAGAAGCTCACAGACTATAGCTACTCATACTTGGAAATGAGATGCTCTTAAAAATGAACAAAGTGAGCTTGTTGATTTTTTAAAAAATTACTATTGTCAATGATAAATTTGAATTTTCAAGTAAAAATCAGAATTTTGGAAAATCTATATCTAACATCAAGAGCCTGCAATACTTAAAGACTTTTCTAGTGAGATCAGTAGTGTTTCTCATGAAGATGAGTTTTTGATATTTTCCCATTAAATTCCTTAGCAGGTGGCAGATATATATTCAGTGAATCATTATTTTTCAAATAACCATGCACAATGATACAGAATCATGCAAGGGTAAAATATCCATTCAAGATGCAGTATAAAAAGTTTATTAATATGGTTTCAGATTTCACATTGTAAATAACCTTTAAAAAACTACCACTTAGTGAGTTTTGCTGTAATTTCAAAGAATGCTCATGATTATCTGGAAAGGACATAAAACACTCTGGTTTTCAACTACATGTGTATACAAGTCTGGACTTTCTTGCTTCTTTCAAAAACATTTTGCAACAGATTGACTGCAGAAGCTGTCTGGTATTATGCCAGACAGTAAAGACATTTGCAAAAATGTAAAATAGTTACTTTTCATAAAAATGTCATTCATCTTAATATCTAATGAGTTTATTATTTTAATGAATTGCATAGAGACATTAAAATTTTCCCAATTTTAATTTCTGATACAGTAAATATCAACAGATATGACCCACATAAACCAAAGCTGATTGGGAGCTTCAATAATTTTTAAGATTTTAAAGAGGTTTTGAAACCAAAAAGTTTGAGAACTAATAAAGATTTTGGAACATCTCACACGGAATAATGGTTACAGAATTTCATGTCATTTATCTGAGTTCTGCACTTCAAATCAAGGTTATGATTGTTTCAGAAGGTCACAGAAATTATGTTTACCTGACATTGGCGGCGTAGAACAATGCAAGGATGGGCCAGTACATTTTCTGTGAAGAGACTATATAAAAATAATTAATGTATATATGTGTCTATGCAGAGACAAATTTATAACATGTATGTATCATGAAATTATTCCTGCCTAAAGAATCATGCATTATTTCACATTCTCCATTCTTAAAAGAAATTAAATATATTATTTTAAATATCTAGACATATTTGCAAATGATTCCATCAAAAACAAATTCAATATGGGAAGAAAAGAAACTAGATCTGTAAACTAGTAAATAAGAGATACAATACCAAATAGTCTTATCTATAAAGATAAAACTAGATCTCTGTATATTTGACGTGGGAAATGGCATATTAAATGGCATCACTAAGTGTCATTTAATTTCTGTTTCTTTCAGAAAATGTCCTATGAACAAAGTTTCTATCAGCAGAGCCATTTCTTCTTCATGAACTCTATTCTAAAAATTTTGGTTTTGACGTACTTTGCACTTAAGTTATAAGATTTTTAATGACCATGTTAATTGGCTGTTTTAAGTATCAAATATTTTGAGAATATTCCCCACAAAATAATTACAGCTGTGGGTTTATGCTCTAAGAGTGACACACATACAGGTACATATACATTCACATATATTAATACCCTATCAAATGAACAAAAGTTTTAAATGTAAACAGGGAGGCTAAAAAATAGCAGAAAGCAGAATGGAAAACTGATTTTATTTAAAGTGACATACATCCTCAGGTTTAATTATGTACATAAGGTCTTTTCTCTTGGTTAAAATGTTTAAAAGATGATGGTCATTGTGGCATGAAATGTAAGCCTTGTGCAATTTCAATGTTTTTTAAACTGGTATTCACTAAAGATCACAATAATCAGACTAAAGGCTTTTCTCAAACAAAATGATCAATAGAAATAAAAAAAATAATGCTGATGACTGAAGGCTGATTATAAGCAAAATCTAGACTCTGTGCTGCTAAATATCTTGTTAGCATTCAAATGTTTAGACAGAAGGCTCAATGCACAATTTACTTTTTGGCCTGGGGAGGTAGGTAAGGTCAATTAGATTTTATTCTTTGGATAGACCCATGAAAGTTGTTCTAATATTCATTACAAAATTACTTTGTGTTTATAAAATTGAATGACTAGTCTCCACCCTTACTAGAAAAAAAATCAAGTTATAGATTTTAAATAATGACCATTTTTTTCTGCAAAATATTATTCAATATTTAACCTGTTGCTTCAAAGAAACAACCTAAGGAAGCAATACTAATCATTTCATGTTATAAATTAAAGAAGATAATTAAATAAAAACTTTAAAAAAATCTTTAGATAAAACATTACCTTGCAAGTCCAATACCAAATCCAGCAAATCTATTCAACTGTTCTAAAATAAAAAGAATAAGATTACTCATAACCAATATTTAGGATTACTATAAAAACAAAAAAATTGTTTTCTTTTATTAACATGTTGTTCAGTTCAACCTCAAAGTCAAGATCAGATGTCATAGGGCACAAAGAGATCATCAAATGAATGAATGAAGGACTCTGCTGGGGCTTGTGGCAAAGGTATAGACCTCTTAAAGGCACAACTCTCTTTAGCTCCAACTCATTGTTGCCATAGGGGATTGTGGGCCAAGGGTTTCTAACTTGTGATTTTTCAAAAAAGATATTCTCATTTTTATGTAAAAATCTTCTAATTTCTAAGTATTGGCCAGCTATTTCAAAAAGTGTTAAAACATTGTGTGAGTCAAATCAAACAAGTGTGCAGATAGAACCTAAGGGCTACCAGTTTTCAATTTCTGATTGAAATCAGAAAAAAATTTTTCTATATATGGCCCTGACTGAAATTTACAACAACTTTATGTCCCTGTAAAGGGAGGTCAGTTTTACCATGCTGTAAAACTAGTTATTCCCTGTTATTGATAGAGACCACCTTGTTAAAGCAATAGGTGCTTTAATTTGACAGAGTACTTAGGGTAACCCAAATGGGTAACTACAACTCTCTTCTTCCCCATCTCGAGTTTTAAATAGTTTGATAGTAGCTGTTGAATTAATGCAGATAGGTTATGGATATATATGTGCTATTAACACTACTGATAGGATTTCTGTAATGTTACTGGAAAAGTTCACAGCTGAAAACATTCCTATGCATATGTCAAAAGAGAAAAGTCTTTCTCCTTGACTAAGGAACCCAAAGTCATAATGGTGAACTACCATAATCCCAGGAGACTAGACAATTAATTAACTAGAATTTTAACTTTAATATTTACAATCTCTTACCCCTCACCTCTTTCAAATGAAGCAAAGCCCCCACTATTCCTTTTCAGTCATAACAAAGCATGTAAGCATGTTCCTGAGAAAACTATGTGGTTCACCTTGGACAAATGTACAAGCTAGATATAAAGTTCTTTTGCTCAGTTAAGTCTTTCCTTTTTTCAACTTTTGCCCTTTTTGTGTACATAGATCATCCCCAAATATAAACAGAAAATGCCACTGACATTTTCTGGAAGGTGTTAGGAAGGTTTACTGTTGTTAACAGTGTAAGTCTATCACGAGTCTATCCTTATTGCAAACTTACATTCACCCACCTGTTAAGGACTGCAAAATAACCCCCTGGTTTTGTTAATGAGTGCCTCCTCATTATAACCATCAAAGCACTAACTTATGAAAAGATAAAAATATAAACTTTACTGCCTAAGAAAGTAACTCTGTAGCAATTGTATATGCATTTTGAATTATTTAATTCATAACTTATAAAACCTTTCCAGTATTCTTCCATGACCAGCATGACACAATGAAAAGCAAACTTGTTAGGAGTCAAAAAGCTGGTAACACTGGATAAATTATTGATCCTGCTTCATATCTTCATTTGCTCACTAGATAATCATTAAAGTCTATTTCTCCCAATTAATGCAAATCAAATATTACTGTACTTCTAAGTCAAAATCGAGGAAATGAGAATAAAGCAGATGTCTGCAATATATTTAATAATATAATTAATCTATTATTCTAACAATTCTTGGAGAATACAAAGAGGCAGCCCTTAATTTATATTTTATGAATAAAAAGGATGTTGAAAATATGAATATTTTTTGAATAAAAAGGATCATGCAGTGTTGCAATTAAAACACAAGTCTTCTTTTAGCCTACTACGTGTCCCATACTGTACTAGGCATTACTCACAATTCATTTTGTTTAATACTTGCAAAAAAAACCAAACAAACTATATTATTCTACATATCTAAAAGACGGGAAAACAGAGGGCTCACAGAGGTTAAGAAAGTCGTTCAGTTTATGAGTGGCAAGGCCAAACTTGAACCCAAATCTGCCTATGCCGAAAGCTTCTCTTTCCACTACACAAAGATACAAGTAAATAAATCAAGAAAATACAGGGGCCAAAATGAATTAGGTAATGGTAAATAATCCAGCCTCCTTCTTTCTTGACTCAGGCGCCGAAACACCTAAAAATTCCTATTATGCACCCCATAGCTAAGGCAGATGTCTTTTTTGGAGGTGATCCCACAGCATAGATTTGCGTGAGGAAAGAGGGGGAGGCCCTCTTCAGGGGCAGAGGACGAAAGGAGGGCAGAGGGTGTGGCGCGCGATAGGCTGAGAAGGGGCCGGAGGCGGGACCCTCCGCGCGGCTTCTGGGTCTGCCAAACCAGGAGCCACAACTCTGCCACCCCACCCACCCCTGCCTTAGTGCCCACACCCCTCACCACTGCTCTGCCCCTGCACGCTGCCGCCGCCGGAGCCGGAAAAAGGTTCCTCTGCGGGGCCTTCGTACGGGGTGGAGGCGGAGGGCACTCCGTAGGCCGGGCTCTTCTCGCCCCAGTGCAGGTTGCGGCTGCCGGGGATGTCTGGGGGAGTCGTCACCCAGTGGCCCAGGTCCGACCCGGAGCTGAAGGACCTTGCAGGGAAGGCGCCGCCAAAACCCTGCTCGTCCCGGGCACCACCGCGGTAGCCCAAGCCATCAAATCCGTCGGGGCGCCGCGGATGCATCGCAGCCAGGGCAGGATGACGCGAGCCCACCCGGAGCCCACCGACACCCGGGCCACGGCGACCTAAGGCCACACAGCTTCCCCTTCTCTGACGCCGCGTCCGCCGCGTCTGGGGGATTCTGACAACCGGAAGTCACATTTGGAAACACGGAAGTCCCGGGGATCACGTGATCATAGACCCTTCCGGCGACTGTTATAGGCACAGTTGCTAGGGAGATGCGACAGGAACCTAGGGCTCATCTTAAAACTTTAATGTGGTTAGGCAGGAGGTGGGAATGTGGTTGTAGGGCACCGAAGAGATTCCAGAAAGGGAATGTGGGATGTAGGAATGAGGGGCGGATGGGAGGAGGTCGAATATATTCTTCCTCCAGAGTTTATAACGCGCGAGTGGAGCTGACCCACCGGGGACACTGCCAGGAATGATCCGCCCCACGCCGACTCCCCAGACCTAATTAATTCTTACCTTGGTACCTCACCTGTCTTAAGGGAGTTAGTAGAGGTTAGTGTTGTGGGGTGTTAGTAACGTTCCGTCCAGCTTTGTCCTCTGCACTTAGGATTTGGACAGAATTATTGAGACATCTGGTTCCGCCCAGTGAACCCAAAGGTACCAAAGACCACCAGAGCAAGCATTAAAAACGTTCAAGTGAACGTCGGCGAGAAAGAAACCCACGCACATTAATGCAAACTGCTTTCCTAGAGTTAAGAATTAAGTATTTTACTTTCCTAAGGCTGCAAAGTGACTATAGTTTTCTGTCGTATTTTTCTGAGCGTTTCTAAATCCCTCAGGGTATTGAAATCCCAACGATATCGTTCAAAAACGGGACCCCCTAAAAAACTGAACTGAAAGGATTTCTGTAGAGAGTCCCCTACCACCTGTTTTCGTTAGCTCCATGGGCTTTTAGGGCAGAGTCTCTCTTCCTGGATGTAACAGGGGCTTCCATGAGTTCTTCCTGTGTCCTTTCTTCCCTACTGGACGTTCAGGATTCTGAAGGCTTTCAGAAAAGAACCCTGGTATACTGTCGTCAAGCTTCTAGACGCGAACCTTAATTTAAAGTGATAATTGACTTTGCTCTGCGAATTGACACTCTTAAATCAAATTGGGTTGTGAAGTGGCTTGGGCAAAGGTGTTGTGTCTCTTGATAAGTGTATCAAGTATTACTCAAGTACTAATAACAAATTACTGGATAATTAATATCAAATCAGTTACTGGGCATGACAATAAAAATATTTCACTGTTCCTTAAGAATGGCTCAAGGACAGGATTGTATCAGGTCCTAACCTTACTTTTTAAGGGAGAGGGGAAGACGATGTAAATGTGTTTATGTACTTATAGTATAAAAACAGTGGCATCTCACAATTTCACATCCACATTAGTGGAGAAAAGATGAATTATTAAAAGGAGGAGCAATTGGAGAACGAGTTGAGGGGGGAAACAAAGCAGCAATAAGAGCCCTACCTCCCAGCTTACTTTCAAATTTCAGCTGTGATATATTGTCTTTTTACTTTATTTAAAAAAAATTAAATACTGGAAGAAAATGATAGGTAAATACTTTTTAAATAGTGGATTAGAAAGCTTTCTAAGAGTGACAGCAAAGTCAAAAGCCATTTTGGGAATCAAAGAAAGACTAGAATCAATTTGACTCTATAAAATTTGATTTCTGTATGATAACGAAAATAAGAAAAACAGAGTAATGGAAATTAAAAGGCAAATAACAAACTAGGAAAAATGACATCTGAACATGGGTTTAGACAATGAATCAGTATCTTTAATGTACAAAGAGCACTTATCAATGAATAAAGACAAATAAGCAGAAATATGAGAAAGTCATGAAGAGACAATACACTCGCAAAAATAAGTGAAATGGATAATTATGTAAAAATATGTCTTATAGTAATTTAAAAAAGGTAAATTTTTAAATCATCATTCACCTATTAAAATGTTTAAAAGGGAAAACGCACATAGTCATGCCAGGTGAAAAGAAAGTAGCTCTCATTCATTTCTGGAGTGATATAAAACATAATACTTTTGATGGAGAGAGCATTTTGACAATATGTATCACAAACTGTAATAATGATCATATCTTTTTACTCCTAAATCTTTAGGAAACAAATGTAGGGTGTGTTTCCTATACATGTTTATGGCATGTATAATGTGCATGTTTATGGCATAATTGCCTGCAATGGGAGAAAATTGCCAATAATCTGAATATTAAATAGTCATTAATAATTATTATTAAAATGATATATCCATATAGTCCTTTAATTAAAATATATAAATTTAGCACTTATCTTGTGCAAGGTACTATTGTTTTAAGCGATGAGGATAGAGTAATAAATAAGCCAGACAGAGTGCCTACATTGTTAGAACTGACATGCTAGTTTAGGGAGAAAAATAACAGATAAACAAATGTATCGAATCAAATAATGAAGCAAACATAATTCAATGATAGATAATGACATGATTATATTATAAAACACCTAAATGAGTAATAGAGGCAGCCTTTTTTAGATTAGCTTTTTTAGAACCAGGAAGTCCTCTCTGAAAAAGTGACCTTTGAGCAGATAATTGAATGAAGTGAGGTAGGGAGCAATATGCAACAACTATCCAGGCAGAGATAAGCAGAGGGCCCTAATAACTAGGTAGGTCGCCAGTGAGCAAGAATGAAAGTATAGGAAAGGAAAGATGAAAGAAGGTTAGGAGCCAGATTTTAGAGAGCCTTGTCAATAATGGACAAAATTTAGGTTTTTTGAGGGTAGAGGAAAGATATGACCTTACTGATATTTTAGAAGGATCAACCTGGCTTCTGCATGGGGCAAGGGTGGAAGCCTCCTATCTTTAGTAGGCTATTGCAAGCTGAGGTAACAGATAGTAGTAAATTGATCTAGTGTGGTAGTGGTGAAGGAGGTGAGTTTAGGGTCAAGATGTTTAAGGAGTTTTTCCAACATTTTCTTCTAGAATTCTTATAGTTTCATGCCTTAGGTTTAAGTTTATTATCCACCATGAGTTGATTTTTGTGAGAGGTGAAAGGTGTGGATCCTGTTTCAGTCTTCTACATGTGGCTATCCAATTTTCCCAGCACCATTTATTGACTAAGGGTTATTTTCTCCAGTGCATGACATTTTTTGTCTGCTTTGTCAAAGATTAGATGGCTATAGGAGGATTGTTTTATATCTGGGTTCTCAGTTCTGTTCCATTAGTTTATGTCTCTGTTCTTGTGCCAATCAAATGCTGTTTTCATTATTATAGCCTTATAGTATAGCTTGAAGTCTGGTAAATTGATGCCTCCCAATTTGTTCTTTTTGCTTAAGATTGCTTTTGCTATACGGGATCTTCTCTGGTTCCATACGAAGCATAGAATTTTTTTTTCTAGATCTGCAAAAAATGATGTTGGCATTTTAATAGGGATTGCATTGAATCTTTAGATCACTTTAGGTACTATAGACATTTTAACAACGTTGATTCTGCAGACCCATGAGTATGGTGTGGTTTTCCACCTGTTTATGTCCTCTGCTATTTCCTTTCTCAGTGTTTCATAGTTTTCCCTGTAGAAGTCTTTTATGTCCTTAGGGAAATAATTTATGAAGAAGACCCTCAAGGCAATGACAGCAATAACAAAATTAAATAAGTGGGACCTAATCAAATTAAAAAGCTTCTGCACAGCCGAGGAAACTATCCTGAGAGCAAACCGATAGCCTACACAATGGGAAAAAATATTCACATGCTGCAAATCGATAAAGGGCTGATAACTAGAATCTATATTTTTTTTCTTTTCTTTCTTTTTTTTTTTTTAGAATATTGTGTTCAGCTGTGAGTGTGTAGAATCTATATAGAACTCAGGAATGTCAGCAAGAAAAAAATCAAACAGCCCAAAAAGTGGGCAAAGGACATGAACAGAAACTTTTCAGAAGAAGACAGAAAAATGGCCAACAAACAAGAAAAAATGCTCAACATCTCTAATCATCAGGGAAATGCAAATCAAAGCCACAATGAGATATCACTTATCTGCACTGAGAATGGCCTGTATCAAAAAGTCTCAAAACAATAAATGTTGGCATGGATGTGGAGATATAGGAACACTAATACACTGCTGGTGGGATTGCAAACTAGTACAACCTCTGTGGAAAGGAATATGGAGATACCTTAAAGAGCTACAAGTAGAACTACCATTTGATCCAGCAATCCCATTACCGAGCATCTACCCAAAGGAAAAAAAAGACATTCTATAAAAAATACATCTGCATTAGAATGTTCGTAGCAGCACAATTAACAATTGAAAAATGTTGAAACAACCCAAGTGCCCATCAATACATGAGTAGATTAATAAAATGTGGTATATGTGTACCACGGAGTTCTATTCAGCCACAAAAAACAATGGAGATCTAGCATCTCTTGTATTATCCTGGATTAGAGCTAGAGCCCATTCTACTAAGTGAAGTTATCACCAGAATGGAAAAACAAGCACCATGTGTACTCACCATCAAATTGGTATTAACTGACTTAACTGACCAACACATAAGTTCACATATAGTAATAGTAATATTCATCGGGTGTTGGGCAGGTGGGAGTGGGGAGTAGGGGATGGGTATATTCACACCTAATGGGTGCATTGTGCATCATCTGGGGGATGGACACACTTGAAGCTCTGACTCGGGTGAGGCAAAGACAATATATGTAACCTAAACATTGGTACCCCTGTAATATGCTGAAGTGAAAAAATAAAGTATTTAAAAAAGATGTTTAAAGATTATACTGGAGATGAATATTAAATGACATAAAATTTTCATGTTATTATAAATTTGAGACATGTACAGTATTATCCCACTTTAAAAAATAATAAAGGTATAAGTAGAAAGATACATGTCAAAATGATAAGATTGCTATGTCTGCGTGTGGGTTGCCATAGTTGTTTTTTACTTAATTGCTCTAAAAACAGCTTTTTATTTAAAAAATTAGCAAATAGTAGAGAAAATTCAATTATGGGCAAACAGCAAGAAAAATCTTTCTGGATTATTAAATCTCTTCATAGCATTTGGCCAGCAGTCTCTAGAGCACTGTCAAAATTCTGTCATCCTATATTTCTCTAAAATATTTCTACAAGAATGGTGCTGAAATGGTCCAGGGTTTATAG